CAGACCATGGTCCTGATAGGCATCCTTACCATTGCCATAGATGGGGCACTGCTCTCCACCTGGAGCTGGGGGCAGATCCTGGGATGGAAGAGGCCCTAGGAGACACAAAGGCACAATCCGCTGAGCCTCCGTCAGAGAGCAGGTGGGGCAGTAGGGACAGGGAGGCTGCAAGAAGGATGCCAGTAGGGCTGCTGAGGGCCTGAGGCTGCTTTACAAGGGTTAATTCACAAGTCTAGATGTGGTTTTTATGGTATGCTTCCTTTGAAAAACAACCTACAGGGTAGGATGGCTCCACTGTAAATCACAAACCGGGAGGGAGAGAATCGGGGGTGGATTGCACTCTTGCTTGGAAAGGGCTCAGGCCCACAAGCCAGGCTGCTTTTTAGACACTGGGTGGGTTAATTCAAATAAAACGTTGACGTCCTAGCAAATCATCTAACACAATGACCAACACATAGTTGGATCTCAAAAAATCCTGCCTTCCTAATTTGTTGGTACCTGATACTTTTCACAATTGTTTTTTAAAAAAATTTTAATAGTTTAAAAAGATTTATTTTTATTTATTTGAAAAAGAGTTACAGAGAGAGGTAGAGCCAGAAAGAGAGAGAGAAAGAGAGAGAGGCCTTCCATCTGCTGGTTCATTCCCCAGATGACCACAATGGCTATAGCTGTGTCGATCTGAAGCCAGGAGCCAGGAACTTCTTCCAGGTCTCCCATGTGGGTGCAGGGGCCCAAGCACTTGGACCATCTTTTACTGCTTTCCCAGGCCATTGCAGAGAGTTGGATTGGAAGTGGGGCATCCAGGACTCAAACTGGCACCCATTTAGGATGCCAGTGCTGCAGGCTGGAGCTTTAACCCGCTGTGCCCCAGTGCCGCCCCCAACAATTGTCTTTCCAAAGTGGGTACTAGTATCTCCATTTCATAGATGAAGCAACTGAAGCTGGAGGAGGCGACTTCTCCAAGGTCCGAGGTCACAGTGCTTTTTCTCCACTGATATGTGGCTCCTGTGACAGCAGGTCCTTCCACAACCAAAAATTTACTCCTGGCATGGGAACTGTATCACATGTAGATTTTAGAAGACTGGTCCATGCCTAGTGCTTGCAAAAAATGCTCATTAGCTCTAAAAGCAAGAGAGAACAGGACCCCCAGGAGGAGCTGTGTGCATGACTCCTCCTGCAAAACCACAAGGGAATCTATGGGGACCTAAACCAGCCACTGATTATTAAACGTTTCCTCGCACACTTGTGTCAGTGCCATGCTTCTGCATTTTTATTCAGTCAAGAGTTATGTGAATTGTTTTGTGTGAGGGGAGCAACAGGTGGTAAAATAAGCTTTTAAACAAGCACACCAGAGCTCGTCTGTCTGGACGAGTGTGGCTTTGAAGTGACCCCTTGTGTGACCACATCCTTGTTCCAGTGATGCCATCATTGGGTCAGAACGGTCGGAAAACCGCCTCCAGACATTTGGTGACTACCTTGGCAGGGTATATTTTTGTTTGCCGAGCAGTGAATATGTTATCTGGAAATGGCTAAGAGCCTTCCAGACTAGCTAGTCCTCGAGAGTGAGTGTTATTCTACAGCACAGAGTAACACCGTTGATCTGTTTTATTTTGGGGGGGGGGGTAGGTAGCTGTGGAATGGGGCCTGAGAGTGGCTTTATGAGCGGACATTCAAAGGGAGACTGTTCCCACGGGATTCTGAGGTATCAACCCCACCACTAGGAGTCCTGTTTGCATGAGACACAGGCACCTTAGCAAAACAGATCCTGCCTGCTCCAAGGTTGGCAGTAGGGGTAAGGGGGTATAGAATCCCTATATGAATAAGGATGCTCTTTTGTTTCCTCTTGAGCGTCTTTCACTAGTGCTGCCCCTCCTCCTCCTTGTTTGAGGCTAGAGAGGGAGTCAGCTGTACTCAGACCCAGAGGTGAATAGACAGAAACACTTGTGCCACTAAGGCCAGGCTGGGCCATTTGGAAGAGGATAGTTGAACTCATAGATCTTCAGTTTGTGGTCCCCTACTTCAGCTTTCTCTCCATCCATCTAGCTCTGGGCCCAATTCTACCTTTTTGCTACCATACAGATATAGCTTTAGCAAGCCATCCTGCATGGAATATAGGCTCCATACTAGTGGGGAGAGGGCGTGGGAAATTAGATGGGTAAAAGTTGCTATGTTAAACTTAAGGGAGGGGGGAGTTGAAGGCTGGCTCAAGCCCTAACTAGGGTTCCCTGTGAATCAGGGGATTGGATCCACGGCTGGGGAAAGAACTTTTCAGATACACTGGACAATGGTCAGGAATGTTTTGGATGCATGGCTGGGTGGTCTTTCTGGATGAGTAGGCTGGCTCAACTGGAAAGCTCATCACAAACTCCTCAATGGCTTTCAAGGTCTGTGAGAACAATCATTTTTGCTCTAGACAAGTAGAAAACAAGAACTTTGCTTCTGTGGAGGAGGAAGGGGGTTGATCTGAGACTCTGTAGGTGGATTTGAAGCCTTAGGAACAAACTGGCACCACGCAGACTTGGCACTGGTGCCCATTCCTTAAATGTGGCCTGAAGCAAACAAGCATTTGAGTTGTAATAAACATGTAGCTGCCCAGAGTGATTGCTCTGAAAGCCAACATTCATGTTTAATTATCATAACCAAGGCGGGAAGAAGAGAGTCTGGAATACCAAAAGCAGCTAACAACCTGGAAATGCCATTAAAGGACTGTTTTTAATCTCCTCTCTGTGGAGTACATCAGAATTTTATCTAAACTTATTCCCAGTGACTGTGATTAGGGGACTCACAGAGTGGACAGTGGAGAAAGAGCAGCCTGGGGATGTGCTGGGTGGTCTGCTTAGACAAGAACTTACGCAGCACTCACCATTCAGTGCCAACTGAACGCATCAGATATCAGATACATGTTGTCTCTTCATCTTAAACCCTTCTACCACCATTCTCAAGGGGAAGAAAATTTAGGGAATCTTAGAAGGAACTGCTGAAAGGCAGTGGAGCTCGTATACAGCAATGCTGTGAGTAGGCACTGCTCAATCCTTTCTCTCCCAGGCATTCTCTGATGAGTTCACACCTACAGAACACTCTTCCAGGCAGTTATTTCATAATATGTATTGCTCACAACCTTTTAAAGACCCTTCATGGGCTTGGATTCAAAATACTTTCCCACCAAAATAAACAAATCTTTCAATTCCACTTCCCATAGACATTTTGAAGAACTCTCATAAGTATTGGAAGCTGTAGGTGTCCCTCCATGTGCTCCTGTGTGTGACCTGTGAAGAGAAGTCCCTTCTCCCTCCCAAACACCCAGGAGAAGAGAGTGACTGGTTCTGTCAGGCTGACTTCACAAAGGCTGAGCAGTGATTATCATAGGGATTCAGCAACCAAGAAAGCAAAAAAGATTTACCAACCGGCTTTTTTCCATGGTTTGAAATAACCCAGAAGTGCAGCTGCAATGACCATCACACCAAGCAGGCCTGCAGGCAGGTAAACAACTGGCCAGTTGCAGTGGGTGGGGGTGGACAAGACTTGGGAACCTGAGTTAGGAGGAGAAGGTGACCATGAGCACTAAGGTTGAAATTCAGAAAAACATCCTAGACTGGCATAGAAGAGAACCATTAGGCATTAGGGGAACCATCTGGCCTGCAGGAGCCTTGTGTGTGGGAATGGCGATGGCTCTGAGAACATCAGCATGGACAAGCAACACAAGGGATGTTCATGGAAGACCTCTCTCCAGAGTGCACTGCACTGGCTGAGGGCTTCATGGTGTCCCTGTCCAGTTCAGTGGACAGTTACTCAGGCAGGGGCTGCCATTGGCCCACACTGTATTGGACATGGTAGGAGCTGCATAGAAGAGATCTTCTCCCATCAGCTTGCTGAAGTTCAGAGCCTGGCTGGGGGACCAAACATACCCTTCAGGGAGATCTTCCTGGGCTCACTCCTCTCTCTGGAAACACTGTTTTCAGCCTCGCAGGAGTAGTTCCCAGTGTCCTGCTCTGACTTCACTGGGACGAGGAGGGAGGCAGCTCCACCATGAGGAGCTGAAAGGTTCCCCAGGAGCTTCCCATCGAAGTAGAAGGAGTACAGGACTGGAGGGGAGCCTCTCTGGACCTCACAGAAGAGCTCCACCAGGTCCCCCACGGCAGGGCTAATGATCCTGTGTGGCAGAGTGAGCAGAGGACGGGACACAGGAGCTGGGAAGACACACGGGTGGGAGGGTCAGCCTGGCCACCCGGGACTCAGGATCCCTCCTCCCCCAGAAACTTTGCCCCCCATTCCTAGGGGGTCCCACTGTCTGGTGCCCAGACCCCCAGGGAGTGTCTCCCCTCACTCGCCCACTCACCTTGCACCATGATCTCCAGCTGGGGGCTCTGTTTCTGGACCCTGCCACCCTCAGGGGCTGCCTCACACCAGTAAAGCCCAGAGTCTCCTTCCTCCATGGCCAGGATGTGGAGTTCTGGGTGCTGGCCCCTGCCCTGCACGGTGCGGCCATCCTTGTAGAAGGAGAAGAGGAGCCTCAAGGCCGGCCTCTTGGGGTGCAGCCTCGTCTGGCATCTCAGAGTCAATGGGCTTCCCTCACAGAGCTTGGGAGAGGGGATGGCGTTCAGCACAGGAGGTGAGAACAGCTCTGGGGAGATACAGGCCCAGGATCTAGGAAGGATGTCCTGGACAATGAAGCTCCAGGGGTCTGAGGACCAAGCTTCAACACATCCCAGGCTGCAGCCCCTGACCCAGACAGGACCTTGTCCTCACCCATGAGCTTTGAAATGCCTCCCTTAGCAAGCCCCTCAGAACCAGAGGGGCTTTAGTTGTTATCTGGTCTACAGAGCAGAAGGGCAATTGGCTGAGCTGGTCAAGGCCTCTTCCCAACCCCTACCCCTCCAGCCATCTCCCCTCTCCTTCTCCATGAGCCCCCTGGTTGGGGGGAGCTGACATTTGGACAACATCTTGGGAAACCTCAGGACCCTGTGTGTTGACCCAACATTGGTGCAGACAGAGATTATGGTCCTGTCCAGAGAGCTACTGGCCTCCACAGTGTACATTCCTTAGCAGCACCCTACTGCCTTGCCAACCTTCTTAGTGACTGACTCACCTTGGACCTGAACTGTGGTAGTCCCTGAGGTTTCTCGGCCTATGTGTGGCAAATATGTCACACTCCCAGAACAGCTGTACTGGCCACTGCTTTTCAGTGTTGCTGTCTGTATGGACAGAATGTTCTTGCCATTTGATGAATGGAGGCGTGCTCCATCTTTGTAGAAATTCACCTGGGACAGTTCCATATTGTTCCACCCCTGGCATCGCAGAGTCAGGGACTCTCCTTCCAACACAGGGTTTGGCAAGGCTTGGATGTTCAGCCAGCCTGTGAGACAGAGGAACAGGGTCAGACCTGGAGCTGCAGGCCCCATCAGTCCACTTTCCTCCCTCTGTTCCCCAGATAAGGAACACGAAGTCTCCTGGATTGTCAATACCTCTTCATGCCAGACCAGAACAGGGCAGGGCCATGACTTCCTTTTCTTCTTCTTCCCTTCCTCTTTATTATCTTCCCTCCTCCCTTCTCTTACCTCCAATCCCTGTACATCGTCTCTGTCTTTACCCCCTCTTATTCTCCTTTTCTCCTTGTATGTAGCACTTTGCTCCTCCACCTTGCCAAATTGGTTTGAATTGGGTTCGCTCCATCTGTGGTCATTCCTCATTCCTCCAGACTCAATTCTCCTCCCCTAGATTCATTTCTCACCCTCCTGCCACTCCACTGTGACACTTTCTGCAGCCTTCACTTCTGGTCACTAGGAAGAAGCTGCTGAGGGATGGCAGGGGGAGTATTAGAGTTGCCAAAGCCTGGGCTTGCTCCCTCTTGCCAGGCCCAGCCTCTTTCTTCATCTTCAGCAGGGAGTTTCATTTTCCACAACAGTCATTTTGGGATTTTTCCTCTCTGTCTTTAGTTCTAAGATGCATTTTATGTCCTGATGTGGGCAAGAGAAGAGCTCCCAGCAATTCAGCACCAGCTGCAGATGGTGGTCAAACTCAGGCTGGGCATCTTCCTAGGATGTATCTCTCTGGCAAATCAGACACCAATAATCCCAGAGAGTATTAGGAGCCTGGACCGACAGCTTGAGAATAATGAGGAATCAGATAGAGATCCTTGAGGTGAGTCCCAGCCCATTCCTGCCTTTGGCTGGGTCTCCATGGATGCTTAGGTCCCACTCACCTGACTCTGAAAATAATGATGCTCACAGGGTTACTGAATGGTGAGCTTTGTTTCCACAACTGCTGCTTGTTTCAGCCATAAGTATTGATTTGAATTCCCTCCCCTTGAATTATAGAACATGTCTTTGGGGGTCAAGATGTCCATACATCAGACCTGTTTCCTACTTGACAGAAAGATCCATGAAGGTCAGGGAGACAGGATGGACCAGAGGGCAGGGCTATCTGAGGAAGAGAAAAAAAGACTAGTCAGCAGACAAAGATGCCTGCTTCTGTGAAAATAAAAGGGACTCTAAGTTTTACTGAGTGGAGAAGACAGAGGCCAGAGCCTCTTTGAAGGGAACAGGATGGAGTTCCAGAAACACTCTATTGAGATTTGAGTCATCTATGGACAACCCTCAGCCGTAGACCAGTGGGGTCCCAGGTTTCTCCTCCTCCTGGGAACTGGTCAAAATTTCTGAGAAAGTAGACTCATCTGGGGCTGCTCTGCAGATGTTACTGGGGGCATTAGTGACATTGTAATATCTCCATCTGCTAAGTTTTGGCCCAGAGACACAATTAGAGTCAGAGGAGACAGGAACAAGACTTACCATTTGCCCCATCACAGGGAACTGCAAGAGAACAAAATGATATAATTAGATTAACTAGCAGGAAAAGCTTTCTGACAGCAAGTCCTGTCAATTCAGCAGTGGGTACTTATATTCATTTAATCATTGAGCCATGCATTTAATAATTTAATAAGCAGAACCACCCACCCATACAATCATTCAACCACTCAACTATCCAGCCTATTTCAGTTCAAATGTTGCCACCCCAGACAGGTTTTCCTGAGAATCCAACAACGCAAGAATCCAGTTTCCCAATCACCCAATTAATCAGCCACCCAACAGTCCAATTACCCAACCATCCAGTCTCCAATCCACTCACAGCCTAACCACCAGCCACCAGTCATCCAATCATCCAATTAACCAACCATTCACTCACTTAGCCATCCAGTCACTCAAAAAAAAACAAAAAAAGCCCAGTCAACCAATCATCCAACCATCTAACCATCCAATATTCCAACCACCCAACCATCCAGTCTTTTAGCCACCAGTCACCCAATCATCCAATCATCCAACTACCAGTCACTCAACAACCTGGTTAATTTATCACCCAGATATCTAACCACCCAACCACCTAACCACCCAGTCACCCAACCATCAAACTACCAAACCTCCCAACCACCCTATCTCCCAACCACAGAACATTCAGATACCTAGCTACCCAATGATCCAACCGTCCAACCACCCAAACATTCAGCCACCAAACCCATACAATTATCCAGCCACCCAACTACAAAACCACCCAACTGCACAACCATCCAATCACTCAATCATCTGACCACTCAGACACCCAGCCACTCACCCACCCAACCACTCAACTAACCAACTTTTATAATGGGTCAACTTTTATAGTGGATCCACTCCTCGACATATCCTGCTCCATTTCATTTCAAGCATTGTCTCCCCTGACAAGTCTTCCCTCAGAGTCCAATGAAAAGAATTATACCAAATCACAGTCATAGTGCCCCATCATATTATCATGATAGCACTTATCACTATTTTTATTATTCCTTTCTTCCTCTGCTTAGAATGTAAGTCCCATGGGAGCAGCAAATTTGCCTATCTTACTTATTGCCGTTTTCTTCATTCCTATCATCTGTGCCTGGAATAGCCTGTCTTTAATAAAAATCTGTTGAATAACTGTATGACTGCTTTTTTGTGTGTCCAGTTGTGTGATAAAAAAGAGTAGAATACATAGTATTTGACTCTTACATTAATACACCCAGGGGGTCTACCTCCTACAACTATAGGAAAACTCATATAGTGAAATCAGGATCTATTTCCTGTGATCAAATTTGTCCACAGAACTCTGGGGAATGGTGTATGGATATGATCATACTGAGGAATCAAAGATTCCTGGAGGAGTAATTATTAAGGAGTATGGGACATGGTCAGGTAGAACAGATAAATGAGAGAACTACATGGGGCTGGCTCTTTGGTGTAGTGGGTAAAACCACTGCCTGCAGTACTGGCATCCCAAATGGGTGCTGATTCAAATCCTGGCTGCTCCACTTCTGATCCAGCTCTCTATTATGGGCTAGGAAAGCAGTAGAACATGGCTCAGGACCTTGGGCCCCTGCACCTCTGTGGGAGACCCAGGGGAAGCTCCTGGATCCTGGCTTTGGATTGGCCCAGCTCTGGCAGTTGCTGCCACTTGGGGAGTGAACCAGCAGATAGAAGACTTCTCTCTCTCTCTTTCTTTCTCTCTCTCTCTCTCTCTCTCTCTGTCTGCCTCTGCCTCTCTGTAACTCTTTCAAGTAAAATAAATAAATCTTTAAAAAACAAAGTGAAAGAACTACAAACTGGACAGAGGAAACACACACCAGGCTTGCACCTCTCACCTTGTATACACTGCATTAAAATTTTAAAATGAGTGAATGCTTGAATATAAAAAGGTGGCCATGGAAGAGAGGACAAGCCACAAAGTGATGTCAGATATTGCTAGATAGTATGAGTAACTCAAGGAGCAGAGGACCCTAAGTTGAGGTGCATGGTTATATTTGAAGTAGTGGATGATATTCTGGATTTTGAGTCAAGAGTTGAAACCATAAGTGGTTGTAGGGCTAAGTACAGTCAGTCCAGCCAACTGGCACATGTAGCTATGTGTTCCTTATTGTTGACATCTTCTAGGTGCTGTGCAGGACACTGAGAAATTCAAGAAGAGTCTTGGGAGGGGTGGATGAAAAATCTCAGAACAGATGGTTGGCACATTCAGTCAACACTCTCATTCATGGTGTCCACAGTATCTCAGGCACAGATGGAAACTTTTAGCTTAATAGCTTAATTCTCTGATCAGCTTACTGTTAGTTCAGTCATAGGTCCTCAAGTTTGTGTATAACTATAATAATATTTTTCTTATCATCTCTCTATTCTCCTCCCTTCATCTATGAATTTGGTGTAAAGAATAGCATGCAGGATTTGAAAGTAGGTGAACTGGATAGCACCCATGAATTCACTTCTTTCTGTGTGACCTTGGATAAACTCTGGATTTGAAGAGCCTCCAATTCCTTGTTCCATCATATCATATAATGGGAACAATAATAGTCAATTTTTTCTTACAAGATGGTTGTAAAGGTTATGTTGACCCACTGCCTGGGAAAGTGGCTATTACATTAACTGAAAACAGAAAGAAGGCCTGACCTGAATGATTGAGAACTTACTCTGTAGTGTAAGTTCCCTCCCTCTCCTCACCAGAAAATAATTTTGTAACTACAAAGTGCTGGACAAACAAGGTTGAGGGTACTGAAGCTTATATCAAGAAAGAAGGCATCCAGAGAGCATAGAGCCAGTTCAAATGAACTCATATTCCAAATCCTGATGACCTGCTGCCCACGAAGATGTGGCCGCAAAACTGCTCTCTGTAATTAAGATGGCAGCCAACAGGAAACATATGCAGCAGACAACACCTATCATAGAAGTTCCTGTATGGAGAGCCCAGAGACCTTGGTTAGCTGTAGGATGAAGATGAGGTGACAATGTGGTGAAGCCACCAGAGCTATTGTCAGATTGATTTGCATAACAGACTGTCAAACAATGGAAGCAGCAGTCTTTTCAACTCTGTACTAGTCAGGTCAACGTGGAAGAAGAAGAAAGTTCCGTCCTTGTGCACTGATAAATGGTGTCACGACAAGGAAGATGAGGATGAAGAAGAGGCTCTAGGAACGATCTTAGGTTAGAGTTGCTGAGGGACTGGGAGATATTTATCTGGGAAAGATGTGATAGAGACACAGTAGTGCAATAGTAGTCTTCAAACATTTGGTAAAGAGAGACCAGTATTCTGAGTTACTGCAGAGAACAGAAATGAGATTAATTCGTGAAAATGAGCAGGATTAAGGAAGCAGATTTCAGCTGAATATGAAGACCAGTGACACAGTTGAATTCTACTATGGCATAATACATTGCTTTGCCAAGTTGTGGCTCCCATGCTGCTGGGAGGATTGTGTGGAGGCCTCACGATGCCTCCCACAGTTGCCGCATGAATATGTATGGGTAGTGTCCAATGGTGAGGGTGAAATTGGCTAATGCTTGACTCAAAAAAAAAATTAAGACTCATCTCCCAAACTTTACAGACATTATTTAGTGCACAGCCATGCAGATCATATTCAGTGTCAGGGCCTCAAGACACCTGGATCCATGATGGCCAATAAAAATAGCCACAAATTATTGTGCCCATTCCCTGCTAGGCATTTTAAATGCACTTTCATTTTCTAGTTTGTAGCTGATTAGAATCTAAAAAACATCTAGAGGTAAAGAGGCAGAACAGACAAAGCATGGGCTTTGACATCAAATGAACTAGCTTGCTTTTGCATCTCTTGGGTTTTGCTCATGTTAGCAGGATGATTCCAGGCAAATGACTTAATCTTTGTGAATCCCAGTTTCCTCAACTGTTTAATAGTGATAAAAATTCCTGCCCAATAAGGTTTTGAATATTAGATGAAATGGATGCACCATAAAGTAGGCATTCAATGTTCTTTTTCTCTGAGAGGAAACAATAGCTCTGCACTCATGGTAACTGTTCCCACACAGCCCGCCCTGGAGTTTACAGATTAAGTTATTTTTCTGGGGCTCCTAGGCAGTGAGTGTGGCCAGTTCACGCCAGATTCTCCATGATGCTGTGCACAGGTTAGCTTCTCACTGACTCCTTGTGCTCTCTTCCTTTTCTCTTTGCCATTCAAATCCTGGGTTCCGAACTGAGACACCCTTGAACTTTTTCCTAGGCAAGTCCAGGGGCAAGCTCCTCTTAAATGACAGAGCAATTTTCCCTCAGGAAACTTTAACCTGGAGTATATTGTCACCAGGGGCCATCCTGTCCCTGCCTTGGTGTTCTTAATGCCCATTTGCAGAACACAAATGGCACAGAGCTGTCAGAGAGGGAAGAACATTGAGTATGGCAGGCACTTTCCTCCCAGGGCCAAATTCTCACAAAGTCTGTCCAGGAAGACAGCATGTTTATGAACAGTTTTTGCTTTCTTAGCTCCATGAAAACAAACAGCAAACAAACTACTGGGATTATGTTTAAAACAAAGTGTTTCCACTAGGAAACTGTAAAGGAAAACAAAGCACATGCACAGTTTGCTTCTTTTAAGTGTAGCAGGGTGCTCCTAACCGAGGGTGATCTGGGTCTGGGGGAACTCAGTGACCCTCCCCATTGCCGTCCTCTACCCTTACACCAGCTCCTTTAGGCACCTGCAGGTGTGACCGACCTGGGGGGACATGGAGAGAAGACATGTGGCTCAGAGAGAATGGCCCCGAGGACCAGTCAGCTCTGAAACTCCTCCACTCCTCAGCAGAGTGAGGATGTGTGCAGAATTTGCAAAGGGATTTGGACACTCATCGCATGCGTTTTGACCAGGTGAGAAGTCTGGTCATTGCAAAAAGAACTGTCTCTATAAAATTCCATCTCTCTCTGTTGAGTGAAATGCATAGAACTGTATCCCTCATTTCTCGAATATCTTCCCAGATGGCCCCAGGAGCTTTTTTCCCTTCTGAAATTTCTTTTTGGTTTTCAGACAGCCCTGATGAATATTTTAGCTTGATTTCACAGGGTAAAAATGTCGTTGGGAAGCAAGAAAGCCTCAGACTGTGATTTTATGCCGCCCTGATTATCTCTGACACATCGAAGGGTTGTTCTGCTAAGGATCCAAGAAGATGAGGTGGTAAACATCAAGGAGTACCCCAGCCACACACATCCATGTGCAAATCCCCCAAGCATGCCCTTACACAGACACTTCCATGCCCATCTCCCCCAGGCATGCTCTTACACAGGCACTTGTCTCAAGCTCCCTGCTCCACATGAGCTGGGAAAGGTAAGACCAGGTGCTCTGTGTCTCAGGAGTGACTTACAGTTCCTAGCATCCCTAGAGAGGATGTATATGCTCTGTGACTTACCGAAGAGCAGCAGGGAGATCCAGGGCAGCATGGAGCCTGTTCTGGCACACAGCAGAGCACACAGCTCAGTCTGCAGGCAGAGGTGAGGCTGTGGACCCAGGCCCAGGGCTGGTGATCCTCTGGCCTCTTTGGTGTCAGAGCTTGGTACTCTAACCAGAGGAAGTGGGGAAGAAATATGAAAAGCTCAAAATGGTATTTCCTTTCTGGCTGATTAGAGCAATTACATGAGCGAATGCCCTTGAACATGAAGCATTGGAAGAGTCAGGTCAGTCACCAAGAAGCACTTTCTGACTCTCTGTGGCTTCACAAAGCTCACGCCAGGGAACCTGGATGGGACATGGCTATGAAACCTCCCCGGTAGAAAGACGAGAATTTGCTTGCCTGTGAGGTGGCATAGCCCTGGAAATGCTCCATCATCCACCCCCACTCTCAAGTGATTTCTGGTTTTCTGAGGCAAACCACAAGTTGACAAAATATTGCTAACACCTATAGTCGACAAAGGGCTCATACTCAGAATATAAGAATTTCTATAAGCCTGTAAGAAAAAGACAGGGAACCCACTAGAAAAATGGGCAGAATCATTAGAGAAGAACTTTACAAAAGCAGATCTCTAAATACCAATTAAATATAGGAAAATTAACTTGACATCATAAATCATAGTAAAAATGCAAATTTAAACTACAATGAGATATTACTACATCCCCATAAGAATGACCCAAACTATAAAGATAGACAGCTGAGCATTGGAGTTGAAGCAACTAGGATTCTTGGTGCATAAGTTGGTACATAAGTTGGGAACATAAGTTGGTACAACTACTTTGGAAAATGGTCTTCAGAATCTACTAAAGCTAAACCTATGGATATCTGATGAGTGAAAATGCATATTTATGAACATAAGAAACCATGTACAAGGGATTAGTGTTGTGGTGCAGTGGGCTAAGCTGAGGCTTGCCATACTGGCACCTCAAACTAGAGAGCCAGTTCAAGTCCCAGCTGCTCTGCCTCGGATCCAATTTCCTGCTAATGCTCCTGTAAAGGTGGCAGATTGTGGTTCAAGTGCTGGGCTCCTGCCACCCACTTGGGAGACCAGAACAGAGTTCCTGGTTCCTAGTTTTGGCGTGTACCAGACTTGGCTGGTGTGGCCATTTGTGGAGTGAGCCAGTGAATGGGGGAACTTTTCTCTCTCTCTCTTTCTCCTCTCTCTCTGTCTCTCTCTCTGTCATTCTACCTTGAAAATTAGTAAAAAAACAAGTCTTAAGAAACCAAATACAAGTGTCACAGCAGGATCATTTTTAATGGGTAAGAACTGGAAACCATTCCTCACAGACCACTTTCCCATTTTCTTTGAGGACAGAATGTGGGAATTTAAGGTGAAACATGGAGGAGCTGAGTAAAACACGAGGAAGCACTTTCTGACAGTAAGATTTTCCCCAGACATTTTTCAATAAGTCCTATATAGTATGAAAAGAATTTGATGTATGTGCTGCTGAAGCTGGGGTGGAGAGAGTGAATTTTCTGTTTTCTTGCCCTGTATTCTCTGACTCAGTGGACATGGAAACCAATCTGACACAGTCAAGCAATTCTCTTGTGACTCAATTGCTCAGGAGAAAGGTAAAAGCAATAAGGAACTAAAGTCTGAAATGGCTATCTTGCCCACTCACCTAAAGAGGTTGGCAATTATATACTTTCCTCAGTTGTTCTGTTTCCAACGAATCTCCTGGTCTGAGTTACCTCCAGTTTTGTTCAGCTGTCGGTGCAGTAGATGGGCCAGAGACCCTGCAGGGCAGCAGCTGGGGTAGGAGACAAAAGAGGGTATCACAAATGGTCCAGCTTGCAAATGCCTGTGGCGGTTTTCACACAGAGCAGCTGTGGCCTCTGTGCCCACCCGTTTCTACTCTCACTGGGTTCAGCAGCGTGGGGGTGTGAATTGTGCTCTGCCTTGGTGCTCTACCCCTGCAGGGTGAGATGTTGCACCTTCAGAGGTGGGAGTGAAACTGGCTTTCTGAGCTGAGCTGGCTGCACATCGTTCCTTTGGGGATGACAGTGGCCCTAGAGTAGCAGCTGCAGGGCTGCTGCCCAGGTAAGGAATCTTCCAGGAGTCAGGCTGACCTGGAACCTAAGTAGGAAAGGCTTAGGGGAGGAATCAAAATCCATAGTGAGCCATAACAATACGAATGCTCTAAGGAAATCATGGGGCTAACAGGAGGTGTAAGGATTCTTATCAGAACCCCCGATGTCCAGGTGCGTTCATTACTCAGGGTCAGGGTCAGTTTCAGGGCAGCAGCGATAAGGAACATTGGCTGCTGTGGAATGGAAGAAGTCAGTCTGATCCCCAGGAGGTGAGAGGAAGCAGGAAAGCTGACACAGACGCAGCATCATGCTGGGCTCAAACCAGCCACTTGAACTTGATCCTTGCTCTGGAAGACCTTAGCTACATTTTTAAAACTCTTTGTGCCTCAGGACCATTCTCTCTAAAGCAGACAAAAATTATACCTGCATCATGGGGTTGTTATGGAGGTCAAATGTGATAATCTGAGAAGTGCATAGACAGTACTTTGGGTAATGATGGAAGTGTTCTTTGGGCTGCCCAGTTCAGTAGCTTCTAGCTGCAGGTAGGTACAAGGCACTTGAAATTTTTTTAAAATTTATTTGACAGGTAGAGTTATAGACAGTGAGAGAGAGAGAGAGAGAGAGAGAGAGAGAGGCAGACAGACAGAGAGAAAGGTCTTCCTTCTGTTGGTTCACTCCCCAAATAGCCACCACGGCCAGCGCTGCGCCGATCCAAAGCCAGGAGCCAGGTGCTTTTTCCTTGTCTCCCATGCGGGTGCAGGAGCCCAAGCACTTGGGCCACCCTCCACTGCCTTCCCAGGCCACAGCAGAGAGCTGGACTGGAAGAGGAGCAGCAGGGACTAGAACCCTGCGCCCATATGACACCGGCCCCATAGGCACTTGACATTGACTAGAGATACTAGGTAGGAAGCTAGACATTAGCCTATGTGTGTGACAGGGCCCCAAAGAAAACAAAGTACCTGCGGAAAGGAACGTAGCAGCCTCTTGCAGCCTCAGAAGCACATCTTGGAAGCAGCCCAGTATTTTACACTACAAAGTCCTGCCCATACCCCAGTAACTTTATAGGTGGTCCCGGACTTCACCCAGGGAAAGCACCCTAGGAGAATCCTCTCTGCTCAGCACCCAGTCTGATGACATTGGATAATAAAACCTTGGGAGAAATTTTACCTATTTCATACACAACAAACCTTTGTCCAAAAGAGGGAGGGGGGAAGGAGAAATGATGGGAAGAAGTGGACCCCACACCCTTGAAAACCTCCCATCTAAATGTAAACTTGGCACTGTCTCTCCTTGCATCTGCAGAGGTGCCCATCTATTCTGATGGATGCCCTACCCCATGAAACCTTGCTACCTTGCTTACCACCACTATCTCAGTGCCTAATTCTTTCTTGCACAAAGACAAGGACCTCTGTTCCAGATATCTCTAATAGAGACCGAGGAGCTGAAGTCCTAATGGCTTTTATTTTAGTTGAAATTTAAAGAACTCCATGTGGGAACTGGGATTGTGGTGTAGCAGGTAAAGCCATCACCTGCAAAGCCAGCATCCCATATGGGTGCCAGTTTGAGTCCTGACTGCTCAGCTTTCAATCCAGCTCCCTGCTAATGGCCTGGGAAAGCAATGGAAGATGACTCAAGTGCTTGGGCCCTTCACCCATGTGGGAGACAAGGAGGAAGTTCCTGGCTCCTGGCTTCAGCCTGGCCCAGCACTGGCTGTTGCAGTCAGCTGGGAAGTGAACCAGCATATAGAAGATCTTTCTCTCTCTGCCTCTCTCTCTTTGCCTTTTCTTTTCTCCCTCTGTTACCCTGACTTACAAATATATATATATATATTTAAAAGGTTTATTTTATTTATTTGAAAGTCAGAGGTGCACAGATAGAGAAGGAGTGGCAGAGAGAGAGAGAGGTCTGTCCACTGGTTCACTCCCCAGCTGGCCGCAAGTGCCGGAGCTGCGCTGATCCAAAGTCAGGAGCCAGGAGCCTCCTCCAGGTCTCCCATGCACGTTCAGGGGCCAAAGGACTTGGGCAATCTTCTACTGCTTTCCCAGGCCATAGCAGAGGGCTGGATCAGAAGCGGAGCAGCTGGGACTCAAACCGGCACCCATATGGGATGCTGGCACTGCAGGCAGCAGCTTTACATGCTACACCACAGTGCTGGCCCCAATATATCTTTTTTAAAAGAGCTCCATGTGGCAAATGGCTTGCTTGTAGAACATCCCAGGCTTGGAGCCATGGTGGGGAGGTAGGAAGTGCCTGGTGAAGGTCAGCTCCCTTTACAAAGACGCTGATCCAGGGAGCCCTGAGCCTCCAGAACCTTCCTCCCAACCTGAGCTTTAATTCTTAGACCCAGAAGGATGCAGTAATTTGTGCAAAGGCATTGATCTCTACAGTCAGCCGGGACTAGCGCCACATCCCTAACTAGAACTAGAGTCTCAATGTTAGACCTATCCGGAAGAGCCTTTAACTCAGGACATGAGCTGCAAGACCAGGAGTAGGATGAAGAGAAGGTGGAGCCAGCCTGGGAATGAAGCTCTGGGCCAGGCTCACGTGGTAGGAAACTATGCAGCATCCAGTTTCCACCTTCAATCCCCCCCCCCCCCCCCCGCCGCCCCCTCCCTTCCTTCTAAGAAGACAAAGAGTAGGGATTCTTCAAAGGGAAGACTTCCTTTGTGTCAAGTCAATAGCGACCTCTTGTGGCTATGAGGACAGGAGTGCCCTAAGGAGGGAATCTTTAACAGTGAATGGGCATTCTTGACTTCATCCACTCACCTCACCCATCCTTCCATCAATCCATCCATCCCCCATCCTGTCCACCCAGCCACTCATCTTTCCTTCCGTCTACCCATTCATCCTCCGTTATCCTCCATCCCATCCACTGTTCAGTTTTTTCTCTGTGTTAGCTCTTGTACAATGCTTCGTCTATCCCTGACTCCATGAGATCAGAAAGAATGAGGCATAGTATACTCGGGTACAGTCTTTATCCTTATTTTCAAAAAAGATTTATTTATTAATTTTACAGGGAGAGAGATAGAGAGAGGAATAAAGATACAGTTGAGAGAGAGAGAGAGAAAGAGAGAGAGAGAGAGAAAGGGAAAGAGCATTTCCATGTACTGGTTCACTCTCCCCAAATGACTGCAACAGCCAGGGCTGGGCCAGGCTGGAGGCAGGTATCCCAAGTACTTGTCAGGGGGCAGAGCACTGTGTCATCTTCTGCTATTCTCAGATGCATTAACAGAGAGCTGGATCAGAAGAGCAGCTAGAACTTGAACTGGTGCTCTGGTATGGGATGTCGGCATTGCAAACAGCAGCTTACCCACTGTGCCACAGTGCCGGAATCTCTTTGTGTTCCTTAAAGCATTTTCTCCCATGTCTCCACTATTCTGTTTATCATATTGTATTATATTTATTTTATTGTCTTTTGCTACTTCCAGTCTGTGATCTCATCAAAGTCAAGGACTGAATCTAATTCATATTTGTGTTCCTGGCCTACCACAGTATGAGTTCAAGATAAACCAAGGTACTTGTATGAT